CTTCAACACAACTGCCACTAGAGTAAATACTAATTAAATTCTATACAATTTTGTATTCACATAAATAGAAGTTTGTAAACAAAAAGTTTTTTCATGAAATAATGTTGAAAGTTTTCCTTTATTAAATTTATCTTCTATTAATGGGATGGTTAACATTTCTAGATAAGTACTAGGTGACTGAAGCTCAACGTTCCCATCATTGCTTACTTTCTACATATCGAATGACCACTCTAAAGAGTGAGTGATCGATCCCTCAAATATCTATTAGGTGATCACATTATAAATTGAACATATTTATAGTACATTTATAAGGTTTTGGACTGTGATTAGGTTTACTCTAAATTAAAAACTCATTTCCAAAACTTATAAATACAAGGGTAAAGTAAAGAAGTAAGTGATTGTATTTACTGTGAATTTAAGACTTTATTGTAATAATCGATTGACCATATAACTGACTTAAGCGTCAGAATGTCTTTGACAAATACTCACCCATGCGGTCTGGAGTTGAAATATTAAGGATATAGGAAAACTTCGTAAAAGAGACCGAAAAATACGTTTGAAGACTTAGAGAAAAGTGTAAATGAGTATTTTGATTGTGATCTGGACCCTATGTCCAAAACCATTCTTATTTATAAGTGTCAATACAGATAGAAATTGTGCTTATTGATCTAATATAGACCTTGATCAAATTTACATGCTTAAAGTCATAAAAAAATTATAATCTTATTGTAGTTATATGCTTCTTGTAACACTTTGTATTGATGTTTCATACATTTCGTTAATCTTTAATTATGTTAGTTTAATATTGTAATCACATCTTTCAAAGCAAAATGTTACTAGCTTAAGTTTAAAAAGCTTAAATTTACTTGATATTTTGTTGCCAGTAAACTCAATTTCATTAATTAATACATTTTACAGTGTATCATATTTGAATTTGGAAAACAACATTAAAATTTATACATCATATAGATTGAAGTTTATCACTGAAATTTTGAATTGAGCCTTTGACATTTGAAATAATTATTTGTATTCGTGTTTCTTTACTTTTTAATAAGAATATTTCATATATTATATCGGTTGAAGGAAACACATAATGGATATATAAGGAAATTATTATCTTCCAATTAATGATTTTCGTCTATCAGAATTATTCAAACTTGAGACAATCAATATTGAAACAAATTAAAACATGAAAAAAGAGGTTTTAACTTAATAAAATGATTCTTCATAACTTGAATTCATGAACTTATTAACAAATACAATCTTCTCTTTTTTCGTATGAGGTCATGTTTTGTAACAAGTCTAATTGTTTTTTAATAAATCTTATTTACCAAATATATATATATATATATATATATATATATATATATATATATATATATATATATTTTGAAATGATAATATTCTTGTTACACTGTATGAAAATTATATACATCTTAAAACTTGTTCTTAAAAGAGACATACAAATAGTAAATTTATACTACAAAGTGAATATGAATTTTTTAAATACATAAACTTAAATCTAATTAACCTATGTGCGTGTATGTGCATAAATAATTTTAAAGAGTAATTTTTATTTAATCTTTATATTAAAAGAAATTCAAATGTCAGAAAAAAAAACACTTAATGCTTTTCAATGTTTTTGTAGTATAAGGGAAGTGATTATTTCATACACTAATATATTGTTAATAATTTTTCATTTTCTTACCAAAATTAAAAGTTTTACTTTAATAAAATTATTATAATTCAATATGAAGCATTTAATTATTTTTAAAATTAAGCTTTTCATTACAGTAAGATCACATGAAAATTACAAGTAACCTAGTAATCTTGGGAACATGCAACTGTTACCAACATAGTGTAATTTCCTGATTTGTGGCTTCTAACGAATAATAGATTTTGTCGGATTTGCGGCTTCTAACTAGTAATATCTTTTGTCGGGTTTAGTCAAGTCGTTTGAAGATGTCGAGAATATATTAGGGTTTGTACGTGTGAGTGATAAAACCAATACACACGTGTTTATCGTTTATAAATCGACAAGAAAATTCGGCGGCGAAACAGTTAGTTATTTCCTATCTTTCTGTAACTTATTAAATAATAATCTATAGACAACAATGAGGTAACACCAACATACTTAAATATACTTTTTATTATGTGTATTAATTTATATTTTATGTTTCTTTTATTCTTAAGATTAAATTAATTTTCATTATTGTATGATTTTAAAACTGTGAATTTTTTTTTTCAAAGATATTTTGATAATGAATTTTTAACAAAGATCTATACGATATCTTGTTAGTATTATTTTTAAAGTATAATGTACTTGTCCATTTTCTTTTGATATCTTTTATATACTTCAATTGTTTTCTTTTAATAAAAAAACAAATACAAACCTTGGTTTTAGAAGTTTAATTTGTATAATTAATGTTACATTTAATAAACTAATATGTTCCTAGATTTCTTACTTTATCACCTTAACAGTTGTATATATTAATATTATTCATGGCATGAATATATATGGTTTTGTAATCAGAAATATAATTTAATAGTTAGTGTCTTTAAAACAAATTTTTGTGAAAATTTCAGAAAAAAATACAGTATCAAAATTATTGTTGGGTAGATTCTAATAATAATAAAAAAAATATTCAAAATTTTATCAGAAATTGAAAGAACATAATTAATTAACTTTAAACTGTTAAAATTCTCTTAAGGAAACATGTTTTTTAAGGCTAAAAATAATAAAATATCTAATATATAAATCAATAATACTTTTTTATGATAATAATTTATAATTTTTTATTTTGACAACTTTGATAGATATAATTTTAAGTTTTGGATTTACACGATAATAATCATAAACTTATCATATTGTTTAGAATGATTAAATATATTTTTGGTTCTTTAATTTTCAGTAAAAATTAAATTTAGTCAATCTTTTAAGCTTTAGATTAATTTAGTCTTTCGTATTTAGAATAATGTGAATTTAGTCATTTTAACTCAATTTTGTTAAGTTTATTTAAAATTTTAAATATATTTCTATCTAACATTAAAAAAAGTGTCAAACAGTCTAAACAACTCAAATGTTATTATGAAATACAATTAAAACATCAAATGAATTTAATAAAATTTTGTTAAAAAGATTAAACTCACATATTTCTAAAATTGTAGAACTAAATTTAACCAAAATTTAAAAAAAAAACTAATTTTAATTCTCACTAAAAATTAAGAAATAAAAACATATTTATCTCTTTTAAAAATTATCATACACTTTTTAATATGTATATATATTTTATTATTTTCAAAATAAATATATTGACGTGTCGTGAAGAAAGTCACTTCTCCCAAACCCAAATTACTCATGAGCTGTAAAAAATGTTTTCACATATAAAAAAGATACTAATATATAATTACATTGTTTTTTATTATAACCTAATGACTGCCTCGGCCTATTTAAACTCGTCAATGTTACACTCTTTCTACTACATCTAAGCTCTCACTAAGAAGTGAACTTGCTTTGCCTCTTTCTTTCTCTAACTCCTCTTGTATTCAAATCTCTTTCTCTTCCAAATTCTGAAGTTCTGACCAGTTGATATTCACTTTCCATTCTAGCTGGTTGCTGTTAGTTTAGCTACTGCACTCACGTGGTTCAGTTGTTTCTTCCTCTCGTAATTTTGGTTTGTATTATTCTTTGTAACTTTTCAAGACCACTGTTATTGATGTTTATGAATTTTTCTGTGTTCTTGAAAACATCACTACTGATCAACCGTGCATGGCTTCTGATGAGGTTACCTCAGATAGCATACTTGTTTCCCAAGGATCCTCAAATGGACACCTTGATGGTCTTCCGATGTGATTGTTTTTTATTTTATTCTTTTGTTGTTTCCTAGTTTTATCTGAATCATTCTGGTTTGCTTGGTTTCGATTGTTTGTTGATGCTGTTTTTTGTTTTATGGGAATGTATGAATGTATGTGGTCTCAAATGCTGTGTAATTGTGTAAGCAGTCTTGTTTTAGCATTTTTTGCAGGGCTTATCTGAAGTTGAAATGATGATTTTTATTGTTTTACTTGGTGTAGATTAAGCTGTATGTGTATTATTTTATCAGGTGTGTGTATTTGGTTATATGTGTTTGTATATTTATGGTTGATCAGTGGGTGCATGTGCTGTTTTATTTTCTCCTAGGCACTTTTTGGTTATTAATTATTGTCGAGAATGCAGATCTAGTTGAGGCTTTATCTGAATCTAAGCTGAAGAAGGTTTTTTTTTTTTTTTAAAAAAATTGTTTTATGTTGCTTTTCTTTGTGAGGCTTTATCTGAATCTAAAATGAAGAAGTTTATTTTTAAGTTGTTTACCTTTGTGAAGAGTACACATTGTGTGTATATAGCTGTGTATGATTTATCTGGAGGGTGTATTTTGTTTTCTTTGTTTGCATTTATGATAGATCTGTAGTTTCACTAGCTGCATTTGTTGTTGTCTTTTCTCTTTAAGAATTTTTATGTCATTCAGTTGTCAAGAAAAAATAACAAATTTTTCCTTTTAGAAAGTTCAAATGCATACAAGGGTTGAGATACGATGTTGAAATGGTTGAACCTGGTATTTATTGATCTGGATATGATACCAAAATGCTGAATCTATCTTGTTTCTGCTACTGTGTTCTATTATTTTTATTATATTAACGTAAATGACCTATCATTATTGTTTTGCCCTCCTCTTTTCACTTGCGTTATCGAGAGGAATGAACTACAATCTTACTTTTGATGGAAAAGGAAATAAAAATGACTTTTAACGTTTTCAACTTAAAAAAGACACAAAATCCAATTTATGTGCAACAACTTAGTAATATGATGTGTTTCTGAGGATTTCTTTTTGAAAAATCATGGTTTTGGTATGATAAGATGCATTAAATGTATTTTTCTTTCGATAGCAAGTTGTTTTAAATATTCTATTAATTATTCTGACGTTCTCTCTTAATTATGCATAAATTCTACATTTTTTAGCAAAATGAGTCGTTCGATTCAACTTCGTGAAAGATCGAGTTGCAGACCCCGCTATAACTTTGATGAATCAGACGAGGAAGATCAAGTTATTTTCCATACAGAACATGGAAAATATGCAGAAAATGTGAAAGTTGATGGAACTGATGCCGTAAGTTAGTTCACATTTTTGTGTTAGCAATTTTAATATGATTTAAGGCATTGTGGGAATTGCTCAATCAGTGAATGATAGTTAATGATATTTTGCTGTAAAGTTGTTGATAAATGTAAAAGATGTTTAGAATTCTTTGATATACTATTTTAAGTTCTTAACTTTTTTCTTGGTATTATATATTGTGTTACATATTTCTGCATGCTTATGAGAAAATTCTATCTTAGCAGAATGTGGGCGGCTTGGTTGAAGGTCTTCCTGGAAGCTCCCGTCAAAGGAAGCGAAAAGATGATTCTAACGATTCAGTTGTTCTCCCTAGGAAACGAGGGAGACCTAGAAAAAACACTACGAAATGTGATTCAACTGACACTGTAAGTTGCTTTTTCCCTAAAATTTCAATTTATTTCCTTGATTGATGACAAATGTAGAAGAAGTTTAACAGTGTTTGATATACTATTTGTTCCCTTAAGTTTTTGTTGGTTGATACAAAAAGTTTTCTGGTGTTATTTCTGCTTGCTTATGAGAAAATTCTATCATAGCAGAATGTTAATAGTTTTGCTGATCGGCTTCGTGAAAGATCAACTATAAAGAAGCCAACTTATGTTCTTGACGAGTTAGAAGAAGATGTAGATATTTTCCCCAGCACACATGGGGACCCTACAGAAGGCATAGTCAAAATTGAAAGAAGTGACACTGTAAGATGATTCTTTTTCTTTTTAGGTTCACTATTCTAATCTTATTTAAGAGTTATACTTTTACTTTGATATTATTCAAATAAATTTTAAAATACCAGCACAGTAATCTATAAGTTTGTTTTAATTGCCATGACCACTAGCCCCCTTAGTTGCTAACTCTTCGGATGCTGCTTTAATTGTACCTTAAGGCTGTTTTTAGTTTCTAGAGATCACTTAAATAGAGTTTGCCTATGATTTGGCTAGTTTCTATAAGAAACCTCGTGTAATATGTATATATATATATGTGTGTGTGTGTGTGTGTATATATATATATATATATATATATATATATATATATATATATTTATTTGTATGTTTACATTTACAATTAAAATTTCAGATCTCATGATTATGCTTATTCTACGTAATATATAATCTTGACTATGAAAATATTATGTAAGTATGAAATGCCAACTGATGACATGAAGAGTCAGATAACTTAATTATGATGGTTTTGCCAAGAAAACATGGTAGAACTCATGACAAGTTTAGTAGGATTGCTAAGTGATACAGAAAGGTCTAGTTTTTTTCTTTCTAAACATTTTTCAACCCTAAATTGTCAAGGTAGTACCCCAGTTTGCCATGATTTTCTTACCATGGATAAAACATGTTTTTCATAAATGTTTACTATCTGGGAATAGGTATTATCTATGTTCATTTGATGTTGTAACTTAAAACAAGTAAATGTTTTAGTTTTTCTCTTTCATCTCATGTTTTGACATTTCTTCCCTTCCCAATAATAGAAAGAGAATTCATGTCAAGCTTGTGGAGAACAAGGAGATCTTTTGACATGTGAAACATGCACCTATTCTTTCCATTCTAAGTGTATAATCACACCACTTAAAAGCCTCTTTCCAGATAGTTGGAGGTGCCCTGAATGTGTAAGTCTATGATACCTTAAACAAATGTAATGCTTGAGTGATGGCTTTATGACTGTACTTAAAATTTCTATTTCTTTTTGCAGGTTAGCCCACTCAGTGGTATTGAAAAGATATTAGATTGTGAGATGCGTCCTGTGCTGGCTGCTGAAAGTGATGCACAAAAGTTGGAGTCGAAACAAAATTCTGTCAAGCACTATCTTGTTAAGTGGAAGGGACTCTCATATTTGCACTGCACATGGTAAATTCAATGATTATTTTGTTATTTCATAACTCTATATTCCTTTCTTTGAATCTTGCAGACTTCCTCTCTCTTATTGTATCACTACTGTTGTTATTTTGAATATTTGTTCATTAATTTCTCTTTCGAAACTGCATGTTGATTTTTTATTTGATCTTAATTTATTTACGTATTGATTTATTAGTTGTTCACCAGTTACACCTTTTTTCTCTTTAGGGTTCCAGAAGAAGAGTTTTTGAAGGCTTTCAAGACTCAGCCAGGTCTAAAGATCAGAATAAACAGCTTCCATCGTCGTATCGAATCAGCCAAGAATTTTAACGAAGATTTTGTTGCCATTAGATCCGAATGGACTATGGTTGATAGAATACTTGCTTGCAGGTTCATTCATAAAAAACTTTCATCTTCCAATTTATTCAATTGAAAACTAATACGAGATGAACACATTCCGAACTGTGGACATGATTATGAACATTAAATTATTGAGTCAAATTAATTTATTCCAGAATTATACAGGAAAGAGTGCTGGTTAGGTTTGGTTCAAACTAGTTGTCACTAATTGTTTTCCTCACATTGCCATTATTTCATCACCAAGCTATAACACTAATTTTCTATCTCCGACATTTTAATGAACCATAACTTCAATCTCCCTTCTCTCTCTAATATCACATATTTGTTGTTTACTCATGAGAGAGATCATCGACACTGATCTATGCTGTTCAGTGGCTGAGTGTTTTGAAATTATTTATTTCTTGGAAAATTTAGACAAGGTCATGCAGACGATAAGAAGGCATACCTTGTAAAGTGGAAAGAGCTCCCGTATGACGAGTGCCACTGGGAGCTTGAATCAGATATTTCTGCTTTTCAAGCAGAAATAGAAAGATTCAACAACTTTCAGTCTAGAACAAGGAGGGTTTTGGATGCTTCTGCATCAGAAAATCTGCAGAAAGAATTTCTTCCGTATGAAAGCAGCCCCCAGTTTCTTTCAGGGGGTATGTATTTTGATTATTCCAACAATACTATGCATCTTATTATTTATTCAGATTTGGACTAACTTAATCAATTGATTTCATATTCATGCACAAATGAAGGTTCACTGCATCCATATCAACTTGAAGGATTGAACTTCTTACGATTTTCATGGTCCAAGCAAACTCATGTTATACTTGCTGATGAAATGGGACTTGGTACTTAATATCTGTTATTCCCTTCCCTTATATTTGTCTCCCATCACTTTATTCTTAAGTTGGAGAGTTTGAAACAGCAGTGTCATCTTAGTGGTTGAGTTTTTCTTTTTCAGGAAAAACCATTCAGAGCATTGCGTTTTTAGCATCGCTCTTTGAAAGTAACGTTTCACCACACTTGGTGATTGCTCCCCTCTCCACGTTGCGAAACTGGGAGCGTGAATTTGCAACGTGGGCACCTCAGATGAATGTTGTAAGTATATGTGATTCCTTAGTTGTATTTCCATGTATGTGTTTATTCTTCTGAGTGGATGTTGGTTTGTGCAGGTTATGTATTTTGGATCTGGCAACGCTCGTGATTTGATACGAGAGTATGAGTTTTACTTTCCCAAGAACCAAAAGGGGTTCCAGAGGAAGAAATCTAAACAGCTTGTTGATGAAACCAAGCAAGGAAGAATAAAGTTTGATGTTCTTTTGACATCATATGAGATGATAAATTGTGATTTATTAGCACTAAAGCCCATAAAGTGGGAGTGCATGGTACACTTCTGCTCATCATTGAAGTTCTAGAATCATAAAAATGAATTTGTTATGCCTCTTGTTTTGATTTTTGCTTCTGTCAATAATGTGGAGAAATGGATTTCTATATCTGAATGCAGATAGTTGATGAGGGTCACCGTCTGAAAAACAAAAATTCTAAGTTGTTTTCTTCGTTGACCCAACTTTCCAGCAAACATCGTGTGCTTTTGACTGGAACTCCTCTTCAGGTATATTTAAACTGATGTACGATGATTTACTTATGATGTCTTGAACTCTTTTAACGACATAGGTTCATTTGAAATTGTCTGGTTTGTTTTGTTTAATGTCTAGAAAGAATGTGAGTCTTGTGATTAAAGTGAAGAATTTTATTTTCTTATAGTCATTCATGCCTTAGTGGATGCAATATTACACACACATAAACACTAAAATAGAGTAGATATAATAGAAAAACTAAAAAACCTGTACACAAAACAATAAGTGAAAAAACACACTAAAAACAACAGCAAATATAAATAATAAAAAACTACGTAAAGAATTATTTTATTGGCTCTTTTATTTATTGAAATAAAGAATTATTTTCTGGATAAAAATTACATAAATTATATTTTCTTCATTTGTAATAATAAAACCATTAAAAAACTAACCTGAAACGAATAAGATTTTGAAGATTTTTTTTTTAATTATTGTAAAGATATTGAGAATACTTGTATTCTAATAATGTTCTATTTACAACAATAGTGTTTTTCCAACAATAGAAACTTTATTTAATGTTTGCATTATGTTTTTATCTTTTTTATTATTTTTGAACTCTTCATTGTTTATAACATTGTTTTGAACCCTTGAATAAGTTGGTTAATTGTTGGATGTTTTAAACAAATGAATATAGTTATGTGTTTTTTGGAATGTACCCATATATCTATAATATGTATGCAATGGATTTTGGGCTCTAAAACCATTATGAAATCTGGTTGAAATCCCTCTTCAGCCTTGAACTCACAATTTATCTCATCTTTTCTTCTAATTTTATCACTAAACCAACCTTATATCTCCCTCGCATGCTTTTGTATATATGGACATGTTCTTTTCTTTTGTTCATCTTTCACACAAAAAGTATATTATATATAATAACTATTCTTCTGCGTACTGCTTTTGTTTTTGTTATAGTTCTCCATCAGCAATTCTTATATAAAGTGCATGACTAGCTTTTACTATTTTTTTGGCTTATGGTGCATGCATTGAATATTTTCATTGGAAGTTGAATCCTATTTGACAGCACACCTTGTTCTATGCTTTTCAGAACAATTTGGATGAACTTTTTATTCTGATGCACTTCCTTGATGCTGGAAAGGTTTGTAAGAAGATTTATATATTTTAAGAATTATGATGAGTGAGTTTTTTAATATATTGATGATACTAAGGAGTAGCTTATGATTTTGTTTGGATTGTGGTAGTTTGGAAGTTTAGAGGAGTTTCAGGAAGAATTTAAGGATATCAATAGAGAGGAGCAGATTCTGAGACTACATAAAATGTTGGCACCGCATCTTTTGCGAAGTATACATCTATCCTTGTTCTTCAATAATTTGCATATTTAACCTCATTTCAATGTTAGGATTATTTCCTACGCTCAACATTTGTTACCTAGTATTCATTCTATTGAATCAGTGTTTTTTCCTATCATTTTCTGTTGTCTTCTTTTGTGTTCCTTGCACGGTCCAGTTACTGGTTATCAAATCTTTAATAAAATATAAATTACTTATGCCATTGCAGGGATGAAGAAAGATGTGATGACAGAACTACCTCCAAAAAAGGAACTTATTTTACGTGTTGAATTATCCAGTCTGCAGAAAGAATACTACAAGGCAATTCTGACTCGGAATTATCCGATATTAACCCGCCAAGCTGGTGTACATGTAAGATTCACTTTTTGATGAACTGAACTTTTTGAAGTTATATATTCTTGACTTTAACTTCATAAGAATGAAATTGAACGTGTCAGTAATATTGTTCTCATGTGTTTCGTATCCTTTTAATTCAGATTTCTCTTATCAACGTTGTTATGGAACTGCGTAAGCTCTGCTGCCATCCCTTTATGTTTGATGGATTTCAACCTGATCTTAATATTAATGATGAAAAAGCTCCACTTGAGTAAGCTCTTATTCTATATTTCTATATACTATCTGAGTGCCATTATCCGTTTGAAACATTGTTTTTTTTATTCTTAATCAAAATAAAGAAAGGTACAACTACGTGTATCAATCATATGCAGCATTCTTAATACAATAAAAAGAAAAAGGAAATACAAAAGTTAGTGTTGAATCGGTTTTGTATGAAGTTTATAATTGTTAACTTTTACAGCTAAAGTATTTAATTTTCTTGAGTTTAAAGTCATTAACATTGACATCTTTTGTTGGTTAATATTAAGGTTTTGTTACTATTATTATTTTCTTTCTTTTCTGTTTCATAGCCACTTGCTTGAATCCTCCGGGAAGTTGCAACTGTTAGACAAGATGATGGTGAAACTTAAAGAGCAAGGTCATAGAGTCCTTATATATTCCCAATTTCAGAAAATGCTGGACTTGCTTGAAGATTACTGCTGTTACAATGTAAGCCAGTTAGTATTTTAGTTTTGTTTATTCAGAATTTGCACAAGTTTGTATTTTTTGTATGATATTGAATTTGTTTTCTTTGTCTTTTAAACATTAGAATTGGCAATTTGAGAGGATAGATGGGAAGGTTGGAGGAGCTGAAAGACAAGTAAAGATAGATCGGTTTAATGCTGAAGATTCTTCAAGATTTTGTTTTCTTCTTTCTACAAGAGCTGGGGGATTAGGGATAAACCTTACTACAGCGGACACAGTCATTATATATGACAGGTGGAGCTTTACATTTTTCAACATTTCTTTTCCTTTTTTTTTCTAGATTACATACTAATAGAGTAGTATAATGTTCTTATATATCCTTTCTTTTTAAGCTGATTTGGTATCTGTGAAAGTTTTCTGTTGTTTATCGTTTATTTTAGTTCAATAATTTTTTCCTGCGACTTACTGATTCGACTGGCAACTACAGTGATTGGAATCCTCATGCTGATTTGCAAGCCATGGCCCGGTCGCACCGCCATGGACAAAAAAAGAAGGTTGGGGTTGTTTTTCATTAATATGTAGGCGATTTTTGTTGACATGAAAGGTCACAGTAGTTCTGCTGTTGTAGGTGATGATTTATAGGCTCATAACAAGAGGAACAATTGAAGAAAGGATGATTCAAATGACAAAGAAGAAAATGGTGTTAGAACACCTTGTTGTAGGGAGGCTACAGGCTGAAAACATTAAGCAGGTAAATTAAAAGAAGGAAAGAAAGGAAAGGGGAGTGTTAAGTTATTAATTCCATTTCATTCCAGTGTTTTGATTTTGAGTATGAAATATGCAGCATTTTGTTGAACATATTAACATCAAATGTTGATTAGTTTGAATTCCTGACGATGAGTTTAGCTATGTCCAATTAAAAATTAATATTTATGAAGTTTTGATTGTAACTATTAATAACTTATTGTGAGTAGGAAGAGTTAGATGATATCGTAAGGTATGGCGCAGAGGAGTTATTTGCTGATGAAAATGATGAGGCAAGCAAGTCTCGTCAAATTCATTATGATGATGATGCTATAGACAGGTAATAAAAAGCTTTTATTCTTGGTGTAAAGTATGGTTATATTTCAAAGAATTTAATTTCATTTTCCTCTTTATAATAGATTGCTGGATCGTGATGGAGTTGGAGGTGAAGATGCTGGTTTGGATGGTGAAGATGAAGATGGATTTCTGAAGGCTTTTAAGGTTTATTCTATCATATAATTTGCATATGCTTTTGTGCTCCCACTCTTTGTTCTATCTCAACTGCTGCACTTTCAAAAACTTTCAAAGACAAACTTGGATACATATATCTCATTCAAAAGAAATTGGTAGTCTATGCCTCTATAAGTTTGCATAAATTTGTAGTAGTCTATGCTTTTGTGATCTTTCAATTAAAATCCTTTTGTCTAAGTGATAGAGTTAAGCTCAAGAATTTCTATATTCCATAAATAACTTCCACTTGTTGATGCATGTCTGCTGATACTAAACAATAAATGTCATCTGTGTCTATTTCTGTTGATGCTAATAACTGGTCTAATTAAAAAAACACAACAATCTCATACATAAGTCATAACTGTCTTTTGTTGGAGGAGCATTCAACCTCTCTTACTTTCCATTTTCTCTTCATCTGTAAAATAATTGCTCAGAATCTCCTTGCCCCATTCTTTCGGATTCTTTGCTTTATTGACTTGACATATTTTATGCTGAAGGTGGCAAATTTCGAATACATAGACGAAGTTAAGCCAGCAGAGGAGGTGGCACAAAAAGAATCAAAGGAGAATCAATTCTCTGCTGCCAATTTGAAGAAATCAGCTTACTGGGATGGCTTGTTGAAAAAAGGATACGAACAGTGTAGAGTAGAGGATCTAAATGCCTTAGGCAAAGGGAAGCGAACCCGCACCAAATGGCTGGTAAGTCAAGCACGAGTTTTTCTGCTAACAAGTATTAATTGGAGCGAAAATAGTTTTTACTGGTCCTTATTTAATAAGTTAATGTGTGATTACATTCAATTGTTCTAATACTGGTTTCGATTCCAAGGACTACACGCCTAAAATGAGAATTTTTTCCTTTTCGATTTTTGTTTCTTATTTTAGTTGTGTATTAAGGTTGTATCTTGTTGATGATTTTCCCAATTCCCCTATGATTTCTCTCTAGGGGGAAGGTTGTAGTAATTGGGGAGATATAAGCTCCGATGGTGAAGATTATGAAGCGGATCATAGTGAAGATGATTCAAATTCATTTGAGACTCCTCCTACTAGAAGGTTGCAGAGAAAGAAATTACGCGGTACATATCAGCATTTACTTTTTCAATATTGATTGTTAGTAGTGATGGAATTTCAATATCTGTCCTTGATTGTGATGTTAATTTTCTTTTACTCATTTACAGCAGAGAGCCCAGAGCCACTTCCTTTAATGGAAGGTCAAGGAAAATCGTTGAAAGTACTTGGTTTTAGTCAAAATCAAAGGGCTGATTTTCTTCAAATTTTGATGAGGTTATATCCTGATTGTTGGTTATGGTCATGTATAGTCTCTTTTAACCTTGTTACATATAGATATTTGTTGTTAATCTCATTTGGCGAATCAATTACAGGTTTGGGGTTGGTGATTATGATTGGAAAGAGTTTGCTTCCAGGATGAAACACAAGAGTTATGAAGAAATCACGGAGTATTAATCTGACATTTTCCATTTACTTTTTGCATAATTTAATGCTATGCTTGTTTTTAATGCTATTGATCTTGAACCTTTTATTGTATCCCTTTTTCTTTGAGGGGGGAATTATATGACAATCGAACCCATATGAATACTATAATTGTGGCATTTAATGATAAGAATATTGTTTATATGTATACTCAGGTAACAAAATAACAGTAACATGATAGTATTGCTTACTTGTTGATTGTTTCTGCATAATAATACTCGTGTGAACTGCATGTGAAGTTCGATTCAAAGCTAATTTATTCTCATTTAATTCCATCAAGTTTTTGCATTCCTTCTTGTGTGATTGTTTTCGTTGAAAACAGTCTGTCTAAAACAGCATTCATCGATAAATAAAGTAGTATTTTGATCCTTAAGTACAACCAATCATATTTGTGGTCTTCCATATTAGTATTTGACTTACAATTTATTATATGTGCGTAAGTTTTTTTATAATCTTATTACTTTTCACATATTTGAACATTATTTGATAATCTATTTGTTGTCTTTATGTAATCTTCATTACTTGTCAGTAAATACTCATACCTTTTGAACAGGTATGGCAAACTTTTTTTGTCTCATATTGCAGAAGATATTACTGATTCACCAACATTCACAGGTACTAGATTCTTAGTGGTCTGATATTTTGTCAGTTTCTTTCGTTATTCTCCCGTGTGCTTTCAGTTTACTAATTTTCTTTCTCTGCTCGTTAGATTTCATGAGAAAGTTAAGAGTTTTGTGAAATCTTTGATATTTGATATCTGCTCAGTTCTTACAAAGTTTTTTTGCCAGTTGAGGAATAGTTATTTACCGCTAGATCACATATGAGGTTTACTCACATGAATTTTTTTAACCAATCACATGTATAGTTACATGATACAGAGTAATTTATAACTCTAAATACTGATTATAATGTGTCTTTAGATGGCGTTCCAAAAGAAGGACTTCGAATACAAGATGTACTTGTAAGGATTGCACTTTTGAATTTGATATCAGAGAAAGTAAGTTCTTTCTTTATTTTTTATTGCTTGTGTTTAGCATACTATTCGGGCATTATTTATTATCTCTTGTGTTTTCATTGCTTTTTCTGTTTTCTATTTCGTTGAAAGGGTGGGGAGTATGTTTTGGAAGTTAATTCTACCTCTAGCTGATGAATATATTCTTTATCTTTGAATGTGGTATGACAGGTGAAGTTTGCATCAGAAAATCCTGGACTTGATCTTTTTTCAGCTGATATCTTAATACGCTACCCACGTTTGAAGGGTACAAATTTCTGGAAGACGGAGCATGATTTAGTGCTGCTGCAGGCCGTGTTGAAGTAAGTTTTAGCAGATAATTTTCCCTGCCTTTGCATGTCTTTGAAATGCCTCTCTCTTCGAATTTAAATAATTTATTGTGAAAGATGTTCCTAGTTCCAACAGCATGTTATGAAACCATGAAAGAGTTTTTTAGGCTTGAATACCATAAATTTGTACTGTACATTAATGTTGGTATTTCCATTTCATTTTACGACTTGTGAGACAAGAATTTTGGAAGAATGTATTTTGCTGTGCTGCAATGGTGTAACTTTTATTAACCTGATTCTTTTCTGTTAAGGCATGGCTATGCAAGGTGGCATGATATTATTAAGGATAAGGATCTGAAGATTGAGGAGGTCATCTGTCAGGAGTTGAATATTCCAGTTGCAGATGTATCAGTTCAAGTACAGTCTGACTCACGAAAGCTCTATGGTCCAAATATCACAAATGTGGAGTCTAGCACGAGCTTCAAGAAATCTAAGCAGAGTGATTTGTGTGGTTCCAGTGATCGTGGGAAGCAAACGCAGTCGCATCGTAAATCCGTCACGTGGGATCAGAATAAACAAATCCATAGAGCACATATTGAGTTTATCAAGAAAAGGCTTCGTCTCTTGGAAACAGGTCTCACCGCTGAGTGCCAGAATGAACGCTTAGTAAGTGCATTAGGTTCCATGCTACACAACTTATTTTGATGCTTAAGTTTTTTTCTGTTCCGAATTCGTGGATTCAACCTCAAAATGTTTGTTGATCATGCTTATCAGTTAGTTGTGTTGGATGGAGTTGAGTCCTAAGTCCAAATTGTAAAAATTTCTTGCCTTCTGACTACCTTATGAACTTGTGCAGAGTGATCTCAGAGCAAATGAGGAAGAAAACAAACTATTTAAAGGCAAGTCCACGCGTGTTAATGTAAACAAAGTATATCGGTTTTGACACTAACGAGGAGGTGGATGATGGTCGTCTGCATCCACTCCATCAAATAATTTACTGTGCTGTCCTATCCATATTCTGTTTGGGAATAATTCTTTTACTATGATTTCTTGCTGCTATCTGCATGCCCAAGACAAAGAATTGATTTTAGCTCTTCCACTTTTCTGCAGATAATTTTGAAATGTATCATTACTTTTATGATTTTGATGCAGATCGTCTGCAACTAGTGTATCTTTTCAATGAGGTAGAAATACATTTGTTTCACTGCGTGATGTAACAGAGGGTAGGAAACAGTTTTGTGCTGAGTATGTTACCAACTATCTATCCCTTTATTTTGGCAGATGTGGCACACTGTGGAGGGCAGCCAAGCCGGTTTTGAAGAAACGGCAACAGAAGAGCAACAACGCAGAGCTATTAGGAACTTGGGTCAAATCCAAAGCATTTCTGCAGATATCAAAGAACTTCTACATTGTGAGACACAGGAGACAGAAGATGTTCTAACAGATTAAATACATTATCACAGACTGGAGTTGATGGCCCTGAAGAAGTTAAATGCAAAGCTAAAGATTTGGTTATGGAGTTTTGTACAGGAGATGGGGAACTGATATCCAAATGCTAGGAATTGTACTAACATTAATGGCCAAACAGAAATTTGTTGTACTTTGGTTTTTTAGAGGATGTGATATTCTTTGAGGACTAAAACACAACACCTTGTAGACAGATTTTGTTGTACTTTGTAACATGCAAATCGCAGATCTCATTGTTTATTGGATTCATTGTGCAGAAATATTGATTATAGACTTGTGTTCTAGAGAGACCTCTTAATCCAACAGTATAAATTGAAAGTTGTAATCACCACTCTATCGACTCTTTGTAACAAACTAAGCTGTGGATATCACAGGATTCAATAATTCATTATAAGACTAATTATGGAACTTTGCATGTTCTTTGTGATGAAAAAAGTCCTTAACAAAAGCCTACAAGTTCATCACATTTCCTTTTCATATGCATCACAAAAATGATTGTAATATTTAAATTAATTAATAACATTTTGACAGATAATTAAGCAAGTATTGATTCTCAATTTTGTTACTTAACATTAACGATTTTTTTATATGTTCAGTAATAAAATTGAAATCTCTCGTTGACAGTTAAAAGTGAGTAAAAAATGAAGAATTACAAAAAAGAAAAATAAAAAACCGAGTCAATATACGGTCGGTGGTCATTGAATGGAATGTCTTTCATTTTATAGAAGATATCTTATTGTTAGATTGATTTTAGTGTCTCATCTTTTTCTCTCCATCGATGAAATAATTTATAAAAGTAGAATCATTGAACGTTATGGTCATTAGTGACCATCCTTCTCATCCGCTCATAAAGTAGATAGTGTTTCACAAAGAATGTCAATCCTCCATTATGAATATTGTCTGTTTAATATCATGTTTTGAACAATCTTTCTTTTTATAAACATTTTTATTAGAAATAAATAAATAAAAATCATATTCCGAAAAACTTGGCAAAATGGTGGTTTCTACAAATTTACTAGCTCGTCTATAAAAACTATAATTTTAGTAAATAAATAAATTGATTTAATTTTTTATTTTGCTCTTATAAAGGCTTAAGAATCATGGTAGTTTAAACTTAACGCAAGAGTGAAAACTTACTCCTATAGCTTGGCATCTTCGTAAAACCTAGGGATATTATAATGCATATATGATGAGAATATAAGAGAACCAAAAAACAATATAGAGTTATGAGAATCGCTAATTAAATATATAGTTTATTTAAGCATCAAGAACGTACGCTTTGATTCCACGATTGGTAGATAAAAAATGTGGCTATGTATGAGGACATAGGAGTGCATGTCAAGACTCCATTTTGTTCATTATAAACATATACTAATTTCAATCTATAAATATTTCATCTCATATTTATTTAAAATTTATTCTACTTTTAACTTTTTATGGCATTCATATACATTATTTAATGTAAAAAAGTAGTAACGGAACTATGTTGGGAATTGAAGTGTTTCCGAACCCTCTGATTTTTTTATAGGTTAAATATTAACGCAATATTTTGGATAATATTTCTCATTTTAATATTAATAAGTGAGTAAATTATAGATGCATTTAACTAATATATATATATATATATATAT